TACTTGCACTAGCTAATAATCTATGTGTATAGTGCAGTGTGCACCGGGGTATTTCGATCCCTGATAAGTATGTATTCCATTACAAAATATAATTTTCACTCCCATTTTTGACCAAAAATTACGATAATGTGCCCAAAATTTTACCTTAAAAGGCACTAAAATGTCAGTAGAAAAAGTATTCCATCATAATTTGTATTTGTACCAATTCTGATCAAAATTGATCTATGCATTTCAGAGGTTTCCTAAGAAGGCGCCTACAGGCTAATTAGTCGTCTACTTTGATCATATTCCAGAGAAACCATGGAATTTCTATATACCAGAGAACAAATTTAATTATTTTTTTATCTGAAAGACCCACTCAATGACACAAGATAAATATTGTGCGCACCAGATGACCATAATACATTGTCTATGTAATATATTTAAATGAAATAATGAATTGGTGAATGTCAGAGAATGACAGAGATATAAAAAAGCATGGATGATTGGACTTGGACAGGAGCTAAAAAAATGACTGATAATACTTTGATCAAATAGATATTAAAGGCCCAGGTATACTATAAATACGCTCCTAAACAATAGGGATTATTTCCTTGCTTGTCACGCTGTAGTAAACACCTCCAGCCAAGCTCCGGTAAAAACGTGTTTTCTCGAACTTACACGTCGATTATGTCGTGCCAAAGTGGATGCATGTGTCTATGAATATCACAGCAGTGACTGTGTGTAATATTTATGACAATAAATTGTGTACGAGCTGAGATTTTGGCGAATAAAAGTAAAAAACATGAACCGGGGAAAGGGATGCGCGACTAATCTTGAATAATTACTACTGTCAATCAAAGTCACGTGATGTTGGACCGCTGAAACAGGATGCGTCATAGGCTATGCAAGTGATTAACACCATGCATTAGAATAGCCACACCTCCAATTCACACTTGCCCGGGGCAAGTGAATTGGGCCTTTAAGTAATTCAAAGAGGGTCAAATAGGTAGGGGAACAACATTACCATAGTGAAGTAGATCCAGAGAATGGATTCAGATAGAGTGAGTATACAAATTAAAGAAGAAGAGAATCAAACAAACATCATTCATTAACATCAGATCAATAACAAGCGAAAAATTCCAGTATGCATGAATAATGTGCTAACCCCTGCATCAACAGAAGTACATGGGAAGACTAGTCATGGGAAGACTAGACTAGTCATGGGAAGACTAGTCATGGGAAGACTAGACTAGTCATGGGAAGACTAGACTAGTCATGGGAAGACTAGACTAGTCATGGGAAGACTAGACTAGTCATGGGAAGACTAGACTAGTCATGGGAAGACTAGTCATGGGAAGACTAGACTAGTCATGGGAAGACTAGACTAGTCATGGGAAGACTAGTCATGGGAAGACTAGACTAGTCATGGGAAGACTAGACTAGTCATGGGAAGACTAGACTAGTCATGGGAAGACTAGTCATATGAAGACTAGTCATGGGAAGACTAGACTAGTCATGGGAAGACTAGTCATGGGAAGACTAGTCATGGGAAGACTAGTCATGGGAAGACTAGACTAGTCATGGGAAGATTAGTCATGGGAAGACTAGACTAGTCATGGGAAGACTAGACTAGTCATGGGAAGACTAGTCATGGGAAGACTAGTCATGGGAAGACTAGACTAGTCATGGGAAGACTAGTCATGGGAAGACTAGTCATGGGAAGACTTGACTAGTCATGGGAAGACTAGTCATGGGAAGACTAGACTAGTCATGGGAAGACTAGTCATGGGAAGACTAGTCATGGGAAGACTAGTCATGGGAAGACTAGACTAGTCATGGGAAGACTAGACTAGTCATGGGAAGACTAGTCATGGGAAGACTAGTCATGGTCAGACTAGACTAGTCATGGGAAGACTAGTCATGGGAAGACTTGACTAGTCATGGGAAGACTAGTCATGGGCTCCCAGCATTCACTCTTTCAAATGACATGGTAACGGATTCACAATCGAAAGCAAGGGGTCCACAAAAAATGCTCAAACAAAGTAATTCAGAGTGAGTCAAATAGGTGGAATATCAACATTACCATTTTGAAGATCTGATTGATCCAGTAAATGAACAAGTTGCAATTTTTCACTTAGTATTGATCGAGGGATTCCGACAAGCATCATTGGAAGGTTTTATAACTTGACTATTGAGATTGTTTGTATCAGTAATACGATATATTGATATACGTTACACTGTGTTTATACCAGTTCATTGCTTATAAGCTACTAGATCCGTTGTTTTTGTTGGTAATGTTACACTTGCAAAGAAAGCTATGTAAGTAATTCTAGACATACTCAGTGTTTGCCCAAGACTAAAAACAAGTATAAGACAGCAGATAGCATATTGGATGTACTGAGATAATACTATAAGAATAGATAACAATATACACGCAAGAAAATGAATGTCAAAACTGAGTAGCACATTTGCAGTATTTCACACGAATATAGAATACATGAAGTAAACATGTCATATGACATCAACTGGCAGTTTTGATTGTAAAACAGGTGGTTCCACAGTGTCCTGTATCATAATGTCATGCTGAATGTATAAAGATTAACAAAAAAACTGAACTATTAACTTATTAAAACAAAATTTGACAGTTTGACAGATGAATATTAGGATTGGTACATAAAATACTATTATATGGTTTCTTGCATCTTAAAATTGGTGAGTGTTTTCTTAAGTTACCCATGACAACAGATGCAGACTAAATAATTATTGCAGAGTTTAGATAGTGAAAAGAACAGATATACCGTACTGCTCATTCAAGAGTATAGGAAGTTGTGTGTGTGGCTGTGTGTATGATATTTTTTTCCTTACCATTTTTTTTAAAGAATTGCCAATCACATAAAATTTGCAAGCATACAAGCAATCTGTGGCCTATTTCGCTATAAACAGAAATCACCAATAACAGTCTTTGGTCCAAAGTGAATTTCCCTAACTTTTGTCAAATTATGGTTGAGACACTGTAAGTGATACACCCCAAGATACTTGCACTGCCAGCTGAGTGTGACGACCCACCTACTATAAAGATCTTTGCCCTTACTGAACCAACCAACCAATACCAGCTGCGTAACATGATTACATGTATTCACTGAATTATTGACAAGTTGATTCATTATCTACAATGTGAACATGTAATGTGGTCATTCCTCAAGAATAATATATGACACCATGGTCAGCCTCTTTGGAGATGTATGCATATTTTTGGGTGATCAAGTATGTTGAGACAGTTTTTCACTTCCTTATATGATGGGGAACCAGACAGTGTTCTATTCCGGTGACACCAAAGATATGGTAAATTTACTTTTTTGTCATAGAGTATTATTATATTAACGAACATACATTTTTTATGAAAATTACTCTTACTCTTTTTACAATTTTTAAAAAAAAATTGCACATGAACATGTATGGAAGACAAATAAGATCTTGTTTTACCTGCACAGTCTAAATTCTTTGAATAGTTTAGCTTGAATTACATTGTCTGAATTTTGATTTCAAAACAGTAACTATAACATATACAGGGAACAAAATATTAGAAATGGGATAAAGTGGCTGATACTAAAACATACTAAAATAAATGTAAATGTACAAAGGTGAAAATAAATTACTGATAACTGACAATTTAAATAATAATGTAAAAATGAAAAGGAAACACAATGACAAGGACAAATCCGTGAGGCAATAAATTTATCAACTCAAATCAGGTTTTTAGTCTAGTTGTCAATGACAATATGCATATCAATGGATGTTCTGTTAAAATTCCAGGTGTTTAATTAAGTAATAAAATAACTGAATCATGTGAGAAGTATAGATTAACATCTGTAAAATAAACTCAATACAATTAGTTATTGATTCTTTGATCAAACTTCAAATACTTCATTATAACTTGCTTGTTTAATCCAAACATTTTTCATAGAGATAAAATCTTACATGTACAAGAACAGGAATGGCCAAAATGAATATACTAAAGTAAATGGTCTGACAAATGACATTTGATTCATAACACCAGTACTATCATAACTTGAACTTGGAAAGTATTTATCTCTGATAATTTACAAGTTCACATTGAGGATACTACAGAAAGTTTGTAATTCAGGGGATATCAAGGATAATACCATTTTCTGCTCTGCTGTTCTAGTTATAACATATTATTTATTTCTCAACCTAATATATTTGTAATCACAATCTACTGACTTGATGATACCAAAAAACATTCGTTCATTTATTCAAAGGAGAGCTATTTTAAGTGTAATGTAAAAATCAAATCATATTTTCAACATGTTTCTGTTATTTATTTATTTTAGGTATGAATTTTGGACAGTGGCCTTGAAATGCAATAAATAAATCGGTAATCATTACTATGTAAATAAGACAAATGCCTGTAGTCAATATTATTACGCTATAATAAAAGAACAAGCATTTTAACACGTTCACTGCCTACATTACAGAATAATCACATACACAGTAAACTAACAGGGGGAAAGAAACAGCGTTTAATTTAATTTGTTTTTTCTTTCCCCCACAATTCTACGTTAAATTTGTTTGATTGGCACATATATAGTGCGCCAATTGGATAATATAGGATGACACAACAGGAATACTAGCTCGCAAAATAAAATTCAGAGTATACCGACGTAAACAAATAAGCTGTCAAGTAGGCTGCCATATTGGAAACCCCTTGGGCCTCGGATAGTTTACATTCGCAACGCATACTATTTCTTTGATTTATGGACATAACCGGGCAACCCAGTGACCATGGGGCAATATTAAACCTAGATTTGATCACTATACGTAATAACGAAGACGTTATGTTTCTAATAATTGGGATGTGCATAAAAAAATGGATAAATGTTCACCAGTTTGCGAGTAGTTCGTTAAGCAGGTGACCGAGTAATTCAGCCGGTAGGCAACACAAACATTGACGTCTCACCAGAAATTCAACAAGTTTCACATGAAATTATAGTACTTACCTAAAACCCAAGTCGGCAGAAGTAACACTATGTCTCTAAAGCAGCATATTATGAGTCCAGCGAAAAATCAATCTTAAAAAACAACAAGATTAGGAAATCCTCTCAAGACTTGGTCCCTGAAAAAATCAATTTCAGTTCGGAATTACGCTCTACTGCGCATGTCAACTACCGTTCAGCCAGTCTACGCGCCCTCTGGTGACAACCTAAGAAGTCACATCCTGTTTGTTGGTCGTACCACAGTCCTTCGTACGTATTCTGCGACATCAAAATTAATAAGGTACCTTTAATATCCGGCCTCATGTTTATGTATTTGTTTAATATTCTGAACAAACAAGTCATGCACTACTGAACCTTCGATGAGTGCACTGCCCCACCCGCAAAAATGCCCACCCACTGACTTTTCCACCAAACAATATTTTTACATATAATGATATATCTTGTTATTATTTTAAAACTATTTTTTGCTGTACTTATCTTATGTAAATCTTTTTACACGGAGGCAATAAAGTTATTATTATTATTAAACAGCGCAGAAAAAAATAGTACCTCTATAGAGGGACTGTGTTAAACAGAGCAAAATGTCAAATGCTTTATTTCTCTGGGCATTGGGTTAGACTAAATGTTATACAAATTATGTAACATTTTTGGGCAAACAATGGAAAGGAAGTTTAATCCATGCAGCTTTTTAAAAAGTAAAATGAATTTTGATAAACATGATGTTGTATCTTTAATGGTAATGGGAGTGTTAATAGAACTTAAAGGACGGTAGGCAATGTGCCGTGTATGCGCGAGATATGAGTCTCATATAGACAAAGATAGCGATTTTGACTGTTACACACACCAACTAGTACAAACTGAGAGGTTACTAAGCTTTAATTAGGTATTTTTTCGGTGTTTGGAAGGTGTCGAAGAGTTGCCGTTGGTAATTAGTGCAAATGACGCCCATGGCAAAACTCGTACTCGTGATTTCATTAGAAAAGCGCATTGGATTATGGGAAAATCAATGTTTATCAACACAACTGTTGCACATGCGTGGTGTGATGTGCCCTTTAAGCTTGAAAAAATACCTAAATGTATAAAAGATTATACCAAAAAGTAAATTTAAATTAGAAATTTAAATATAATTGGGGCTCTATATGTTAACTACTCATGGAATTACTTAAAGATAAATGGGAGAAAAAAACATGGTGCAATTATACAAAACTGTAGCTAAAATTTATTGCATTCAAAAATATCTCAGTTTGAGAAATAACAAATTTAACAAAAATTAGAATTTCTTCACATTCCTTGGCAATTGAAAAAGGTAAATATGAAAATATTTACCTCAACATTTATGTGTAAAAAATGCAATAATTCAGTTGATGATGAAATACATAATATTATGTACAAAATGTATAACAGATTCAGCCATTCTCCCTTGCAGAGTCTTCTTGACCTCGGAAGCTACAGAGAGCCGCAACTGATGGGACGTTCCCTGGCGACAACCGAGCTTTAATAGTGATAAAAGATCCATAGTCTCGGCAATGGAGAATGAGATTCAGCCTGCAGTTATGTACTTTTGATGAGACTTTCAAATTTACTTAACTTTTGTGTGTTTTGACGAGTGTTACAGCGATTTTTGCAAAGTTTGTATTTTACATTTTTGAAGGATTATAATGTTATCAATACCACATATCAGCGGTATAACTTCACCAAAACTATCACCTAAACACTTTGCATTGAAATATCAATGAATGTATGTACTTTGCATTATGTGTGTGATAAATTGTACAATTTATACGATGAAGGGAAGGCAATTTAAACAATTGTACTGAATTCTACTAGAATATTTTGAAGTTTGCCAGCAGTGAACTAGAAAATACCCATGATTCTCTGTTTCATTTTACTATTTTCTCTATTATGAACGCTTAAATATCAAATATTGATGCACATGAACATTTGGTACTGAATGATTTTGTTCAGAGGCATTTCACCGGGTCTCATGAAGAATTTGTTTTATATAAAATCGTGGTGACTGAAAACTCAACCAATTACACATCTTAGTGAATCATTTCCACGCATATATAACTCCACTACGAACAATTAACTTTTAACTTAACCTTTAACCTCTTCTTTGACATTTGCAAAGATTGAATTTTACTTTTTGCTAACACATACTTGCAGTTTTGAAGTAATTACAAATCAAGGCTAAATATTTCTGGTCAACATAATGCTTGTAGACTATATTTCCAGGACATGAATGCATAAAACTGGAAAGTAAAAATTTACTGCTTTCTTACTACCAGTATTAGTAATAATTTCCAAAATTATATTATTCAGTACACAAGTGAAAGCTTTTAATCTGGGTATCTCAATTGAAAACAGGTAACTCAAGGAATTGACCGCTAACAAAGCAAAACATAGTTGAACTCTGGTGACCTTGCCCTTTGTTATATAATATAATTCCCTTTATCATAGTTTGTTTCAATATAAATATGGATTGTCATAATTAATTTTGAATACAAACAAGTTTTGGGGTTGAACCAACAGTGGGGAATCAGTCTACCGAATGTCCTTAAAAGATGTAAATATCTAACAAAAACATGCCTTATTTGTTTAATTATTTTAAGGAACATAATTTCCAGCTTTATTCAAAGTAATTCAGATATTTTAGAATAAAAACAAGTGT